CAAACCATTCTGTGATTCTGTGATTCTATACCTAATATTAGCTTCAGCTTTAGCAGATAAGTTAGGCGGATGGTAATCAGCGTGGCTGTTTCTGCTTCTTGTTTTAAAGTATGTGTCTACTAATAGAGTGAATCTGGTTTCTTGAGGTGCCCAGAGACCCACTTGGCCCTATTGGCTGCCCCCTGCATGTGGCCGGTGCCAGTGTCCCTCCCTTCAGTCTCTTTCAGCGGAGCGGGAGCAGCAGGACAGCAGCGCCCACTACTCGGATGACCCTTGGAGGATAACGGAGGAGCAGCGAGACTACTACGTGAACCAGTTCAGGTCTCTGCAGCCTGACCTGAACTCCTTTATTTCAGGTAGTTTTTACCCAACAACACGTGTGTCGAGTAGAGGGACCAGGTTGAGAGGTGCCAAGTGTTAAGTAGATAATTCTTTTTTTTTGTCTCTGGAGTGATTTTATAAGAAAGAGTTGATTGTGTCGTCTTTATAAAGGCAAATGACTCAAAGAGCAAACCAATACTGCGGGCATTATGTTTTTTCCTAAATAACCTGATTTTAGGAAAAGAATTACATCTGAGAGAGGGGTGTTGTAATTCAGTAAAAATTGAAATGAGCTCTCACTCTCAGGGACTGTATTTGTGGATTACACTTGCAGAGTATATTGAGCTGAAAAAACCCTTTAGGCTTGTGCTTGCTTTCCAGCAGAAATGTGGCAGCGTCCATGTGATGAAAGAGAAGCATACCGTTAACTGTCCTGTGTGGTCAAGCCTGAGTGTTTATGGCTCTCAGAGACTGAGATTTTGACCTTTAGGTGATTAAAATCAAATCCCAGAGAGCACACACGTGGTAAAAGTGTTGTTAACAGCGTACTGAGATTGCGTTTCCATCCTAAATAGGAGGATTAGGCTGCTCGTGAGAGAAGTCGCCCCGGGTACAGTGGTCTGGCAAGGAAGATGTCACAGATTTTAAATTGAAGCAGTTTTATTGCGCCCTGCTCTATTACTGGGGTTCAGGAGGCTTGGATCCAGCCAAAAGTTTAAATAAATTACCTGCTGATGACAGAAATTAGTGTTTTACCAGTTCTTTTCCTCAGTTAAGATCCCTTAATATAATTTGCTTGAAAGAGAAAATGATTGTTCAACCACATGGTATTTCCTCACAGATTTATATATGTCTGTAACTGTGTATGTATGTATATATGCATATACAGCCTCTCAGGTAGCTGTGCATTTTCCTTTATGTTGAGCAAGATTCTCAGGCAGTCCGTGCATATCCAGAATTACTGTTTATAAACAATAAATTTGAGCTTCCACAGCATCCTAAAATAATTAAGGTGTAGCAATCCTTGCTGCAGGGCGATACAGATGCAGCTACAGTCCAGGTTTAAGAAATTATTTGAGAAATCTGTGATTGAAAAATCTGTCAGAAGTTATCAAATATTTAAGTGCTATCCCTGGTTGAGAAAGTTCCTGAATCACAGGTGGTCAGAGGTTGTGCGAGGATGCCTGCATCAGGACAGTAGCTATGTGCTGTCTGAATCTCCTGGGTTTTTTTGTTTTTCTTCTTTTTTTTCATAACATTTGAGCCACTGCAGGGAAAAGTCATGGCTGAAGCAACGTCTTGGGAGAGCAGTGCAGACACTACAGCGCTGTACTGCCACACACATGGCTTCTGGGTGAAGCAGAGCCATTTGTGTCTGTTATTTCATCATTGGTGACATACTAATTATGCTGGTTAGAATCACTAGTACTGAAGCCTGTTTTCCTTTTATTTATTTTTCGCATATGGAGGGAATGGGGAAATGAGGTGAACAGCTCTGCCTGGCTTTCACTTATTCACCAAGAGACAAATGGTCCAACACCTATATTAGCATCCAGTTAATCTGAGCATCTCTCAGATGTAAAGTAAGCAGCCGCTTCTGGTGCGGCAGCCCTGGCCAAAAGAAAGTAATTGGGGAATTAATTTCAAATGGTTGATAAGGCACGCTTTCCCAACAGGTTCCATGGCAAAGAATTTCTTCACAAAATCAAAGCTGCCCATCCCAGAGCTTTCTCACATCTGGTAAGTACTGTAATAGCGTTGGGGATGTGTATCCTGTTTTGGTTTGGGTTTGTTTTTTTTTTTCCCCCAGAGACGCTTAATTCAAGAGTTCTTGTTAAATTTTGAAAAGTGTCTTCAACTATAATTACTGCTCTTATCTCCAGAATCACTTTCAGGCCCAAGCAACAGGGTGCTCATTGATCTTCCTGACACGCTTGTTTTCTGTAGAGATGTTCGCCTACTCAGCAGGACTGGGATGGTTTGAGCAGCCATCTAACTGAGAGCTGTTCTTAACTATAGTGTAAGCAGCATCATTAGTCAACGCACTGACATTTTTCATGAAACGACACAGAGGAGAAGCACCTCTGGAATGTTTTAGATGTGGTGTTGGTTTTATGTTTCTGGCTGTGTTTTGTCAGAGGAGGCCTAATTAATGCCTAATTTTTAGTAAGTACCACTACATAATTCATCAGTGCTTTTCTAATGAACCAGCACACTTACTTTTAATGAGCTTATTTAGAAACGATTGCAGATGGAACTGTGCATGATTAAATTTGACAAGGATTCTATTATATTTTCATAAACAACATGGTGCTTTGTAATTCAGTGTCATCCTTGCATCTCAGATAGGAAGAACAAGCAGTTTTAAATGTTGATCAAAAATGCTGATAGAAGTTTTACTTTTATATATGCTTTTCTGAGGAGAGATGAGAAGAAAAGCTTGCAAGAGCCTAAACATCCGTCGGGGTCAAAGCATATGCCTGGAATCTTTTCAAAGTGGGTTGTCACTTGTGAAAACAAAACCAAAACAACTGAAGAAACATTGTGTTGGGGGAAGTGAATATTGGAATTTAAATTTAAGATTATTTAAGAAGCATGGATTAACCCAATATGTTAACAAAACACATTTCTATTGCTGATACAAGTTGTTCTCTGTGCAAAATTTTAAGAGAAGTATTCCTTTCTAGTAGATAATTATAATTTTGTGATGTGATTTATCAGGTTGTGTTGCTGTGTTAAACACATGGGATGTTTCAGTCTTTGTTACTATAACCTCAACAGCTTGAAAAATGCTCATTACTTTCAAAGAGCAGGAAGTGAATTGTTTATTTTAGTCTATGTGCTAATGATAAAATAATGCTTATTTCTTGCAAAGAGTTGATTTATGAATTTGAATTCTTGAATTTCTGAAGTTTTATTGATTGAGAAGCATCCTAGAATTAAAGACAGACAGCTTTAGTGAGCAGTTAACAGTAACATTTAAACTTGTCAAAAGCATTTATTTAGCTCTTTTCTTGAGGCTAGTCCTCGGTGCTAAGTAACTGAAGTTACTTTGCTGAAGTCCATTTTTAACTTTATCTGCTTGCACTGTTTAAGATCCTGCATGGATTAGCCAAAACTAGCTAAAAGTTCATTTCACCCTTGGAAGTACAGGATATGTATTTCATGTTAGAATATATACATACCATCATATTGTGTCGTATGATGGATAACAAAAAAATATGCTTTATTAAAAAAGAAAAAAAATGACAAGTCACTATTAGAAAATTAGCTTGCTTCATTTTCCCTGAGACAAATGTACAGGTTAGGATCAAGTGCAAATGGCAGAGATGCTTGTCTAGTATTAAAATAGCACTTCTTGAAGTCCCGTTTCTGTTTCCCGGTGATTGCACACGTATGTTTCCCTGAGGTAACGGCTTGGAAAAACATGCGCCTGTTGTACCTGCAGGGAGCTGAGCGACGTGGATTGCGACGGGGCGCTGACGCTCCCAGAGTTCTGTGCCGCTTTCCACCTCGTGGTTGCGAGGAAGAACGGTTACCAGCTGCCGGAGACGCTGCCGGAGACGCTGCTGCCCGAGTACCTTCAAGCAGGTAACGTCCCTGTGGCTGGTCGTGCTCCTGTAGCCATCTCAGAAACCCAGTATGCGTGTGACGCAGGTTTCGTTGTCCATCCCGCAGGTAGGATGGGGTTCTACACTGCATAATAGCTCTCCGGTTCATTTTTAATGTGTGTGTTTTTAATTGTGTTTACGAAGCGGTTGCTGAAGAAGGGACGTATAAAATTACAAAATAGTGATGCGAAACATAGCAGTTGCCCGCCTCTTAATGTCTGCCTCTCTGCTCCAGTGGGGTTCAGGTGCCATTATAGCTAAAGTGGCAGATGATCACCTGTAGCAAAGATAACCTAACAGGATTTCTCTTTCTTTTAACTCTTGCAATGATTTTTCCCTTAAGTACCTGTCTCTTGAAGATGTGTTGAAAATGATACCAGACTGCTTTAGAACTTCTTATGTTAATATATTTTGTTAGACGTGGTTACCGGTTCTATCAAAGGTTGAATTTTTTTGTAATACATTTTATGTAATCCACAGATTCTTCTGTAAGTAATCTGCAGTAATGACGGGGGGCTTACAACAGTTTGGGTAGCCCACAGATAAATTAATCCAAAATACAACATACCTCAGTAACAGTGTGCAGTGAGAGACCTGCCCTTTCATTTGTTCTCTTCGGTTCTGTCTCTTAATTACAAAAGAACATTGAAATATATACTGTTCCATCTAAAAAATGTGCATGACTTTCTAGGGCAAGGAGGATTAATCACAGATGATAATTACAGTACTAAGGGATAATATTTGAGACCTAATAAAATCTCCATTAAATTTGATGACACTGAATATATTAAAAGACAGGAAAAGAGCAAATCAAGCTGTAGTTAGGGAAATTAAATGTTCACCCTGTATCAGATTTGTGAAGTAATTTCTGGTGGAGTCATGTTCCTTATAATCCACTATCTTCATATCCAAGGGGAGAAGCTCCTGTAAAACCTGCACTTCCAAGTCTCCATCACTTTTAGTCTCTTTTCATAATCACAACTACCCTTTTCCCTCCAGGACCACCACTTTGTTCGTTACTCTCACACCTGTTCTCATCATAAATTAGATTATAAGCTCCTCCATGCAGGTTCTTGTTGGTGTGTCTTCGCGTTAAGCCTTTTTTGGTAAAACTGCAATTGAAATAGCTGTCCCTAGTAGGAGGGGATCATTCTGTCAATGGCAGGAGGAGCATGGTAAGCTCTGGTTGTTCCCTGGGAGTCAGTCCTCTGTTCCCCTAATTTGTCCCTTTCAGCACTGAGGTCTTTACCATTTTCTTACATGATTATTGTTTTGTGTGTTGCACACAACCAAGCATTTCAAGCTGATCTAGGTGGAAGAGGTGAAAGGACTAATTGTTGTGGGCACTCTAAATACCGCAGCTAATATGCTAATTCTGGTTAGCACGAGGAACTGAAAATGTCTCATGCTCGTTCTGCTGCCTAGTCAGGATTCAGAAATCTGTCTTTCGAAAGACTTGTTTTAGTAAAAAGCAGAACATTTCTTTTTTTTTTTTTTTTGTTATTAGGAACTCGAAGATTACTGAAAACTGTTTTCATTAAGTTGTTGTGTTAGTTTCAGAATGAGGCAGAATTTGGTTCAAGTGAAGTATTTGCATTTGTTAAGAATGTTAAAGCTTGAAATAAATTGACTTGGAGCGTAAGAGCATTTAAGAATGAATTAATCTTGCTAGTTTTATGGCTTGTTCTATAAACTAGAAGCAGAGGGGCAAATACTATCCTGGCACAGCTCCATTGACAATTTGACCCACCACCTTCTTTTCTGGAAGTTTTTATTAAAACAAATTTACAGAATCCGTAAAGCTATTTGCCCTGTATGTAACCCACTGTATTGTAAATGAAGACAGATTTGCAAGAGCTTAATTTATTCAGATAAGCTAGATGCTAGCCAGAAACTAGAAATTTGGCCTGAGAAGTGGTTATTCTGCCTTTCAATACATTGATCTTAAAGGAAAACTGTTTTCCAGCTGTTAAGACAGATTTATCTCAGAGAAACTAATCCCAGAGTGGTATCAGCAGAAGGAGTTTATGGAACAGAAATGAGGGCTTTGTGAATATTGCTGTGAGAAGTTAGAGTTGGGGTTTTTTTCCTTTTTTTTTTTTTTCCCCCCCTGCTCTCAATGCTGTTTAGTTAAAGAATACCAAATGGTATGCACAGCAGCAACTATTGTCCTTGCTTTTTACTGGCCTTCAATTTTAGTGTATAATGTAGATTCCACTATACTTTTCATTATTCGAAATGTCAAAAATTGGAGTTGAATGTTTGGTAAGTACCTTTAACATTCCTAAGCCAGCAATGTATAAACTCTAAGGCCAACTAAGTCAATACTGGACTTATGAGGAGGAAAAATGCAAATAAGCAGTTGTAGTTTGGCAGTTAATGTTTACTAAGAATCACTTTTCCCAAATTTCACCATTATTTCTACAACAGAAATTATATGTTATCCCTTTCGTAACACTGAATCAATCAAAATACAAGATAGATTTTCTTCATGGTGTTTGTCATTTGTGGCACATAGATCAGTTCTGATACGCAGAAACGAAGAGCACAATTATGCTGGAACATGTTTTTAAGAAGTGTGTATTAACCAAAGGCTTGGCATGTCTCTGGGTTTTGTAGGTTTTTTTTCTTTCTTTCTTTCTTTTTCTTTCCCCTGCAGCTTCTTTGAAGCCCATGCGTGAGTGTGCACTATTTGATTCTTATTCTGAGTCGTTGCCAGGCGGTCAGCAGACTCGGGACTTCAGTCGGACGGAGGTAAGAAGGCACAAGCAGGGGAGTCAGTTACCTCACAGAGTAATAGCCCAGCTTCACAATGACTGTGATATGCCTGGCAGCAGAACTGCAAGTCTTGGAGAGGACTTCAGGTGTGTCTGAGTTTACCATTAAGCCAACTTAAACCCGTCTTGCAGCTACTTGTTCAGTGTGTGGAAAGGCTTTTCAAGAGATATTCCCACAAAACGGAGTTCACAGTAGCAATGGAAGGACTCCAGCCTGGCGTGATGTTGGAGCCTGTGCAGGGACATACGCCTTACCTGCTCGCGTCCCACTGGGCGGTGTTTGGCCCTCCGGCGCTGGAGCCAGCGATGCGGGGCAGAGCCCGCGCTGCAGGACGGGCGGTGGCACGAGGACATTGCTCCGGTGGAACCTCACCGGAATCTGAATTGGTTGAAAGTGTCAGGCTTTGGATGCAGACCTTGTTCTAGTCAGGCACTCCTGACCGTGTGGCTCTTGAGTGTTTCTTCCATTTGCAGTGCTCATTTCCACACTTGCTCCCCCAGTTTTGATGATGATAAGAAAAATGTCTTGGCTTGTCCTGATTCCTTGTACTTTGCTTCTTTGGAGACTGAAGCTATCCCAGATTTTGTACGGTGTGGACATGCATTTGTTCATAGTGATTCAGTCTCCATTTTAATATCTAGCCTTTTCACTATGATCTGAGGGTCTGGGTAGTCATTGTAAGGAGCCAGGCAGAGTGTTTTGAGTGAAAAATGGAGATCCATTGTAGCAATATCGCAACAGATACCAGCCTTGTAATGGAAGACTGTTGCAAGCGAAACTAAATTAAGAAGAGCGTATCACTGAGTTTAAAACCCAAAACTTTAAAGATCCTGTAAAGCTGAACTAACCATGACCACTGAGTTGTGCCTGGATATTGCAACTCTGAATATATATGCTGTGGGATTTAAGGGTTTAGTATTTAAGGTACCGAATCAAATGGCAGACTGACTGCGAGAAAGGGGCCTTCTGATGCTGCTTCCAAGTTAACAAGTAATGGGATGTCATGGCAGCTCAGCAAGGCTGCCAGTTATTTCCTCCCTATGCCTTGTTCTGGGGAGTTTCTGGATCACAACCCAGCTGTTCCCTCATCACATTCAGCTCGGTAGTGGCACCCCCAAACAGACTCTCCTGAGCTGCTACGGAGCGCAACGTTCACTTTGCGCAATGCTGCAGGCAATGCTTTGAGCATCCAGTTTATCTTCTGGAACTGTTAAAATACGTTGCGGTCTCCCTGGGCAGTATTGCTCTTTGTACAGCAGCTTGGCCAAAGCACAGCAGTCATACTGGGTTTGTTCCGGTAGCGCAGGCTGTTGGTACGTTGGCAGCGTAGGCAGGTCCCTTACCGTAGTGGAACAGCCTTGTCCCTTGCATACGGCCTTATTTTGGGAGGGTGGTTTGCAGGGGGCTGAGAGGTTGTGCCACAGACCACACTGCGCTAGCACTTAATTCTTCACTGTGCGGTCCTGTGACAAAGCTCAACAGTGCTTTGAGAGTCTGCCTCATTAGTGTATATATGTGCATTGGTTTGCAATTTAAACAAGTGTAAGAGGCAAAATTCAAGGGGATTTGCATTTGAAAACTCACATGCTGATGTCAGCATGTGTATGTACGTATATATATAGCTCCATTTCCAGACTCCAGTAAGAGTCAACTGAGTATTTCAGTTAACTCACTGCATCAGCTTAAGATACTTGTTTTTAGAGAGTTATTTGTCATCTGCTTAAAAACTGTCACATCCCTGTTTGGATGGCTTTTTGTCAGTAGGCAAGACCCCTGAGTGTCAGCTTCTCTTTTTCACTTGCATTTTCATGTGCATGTACAAATACACATGCATATATAAAAAAGAGATTTAATTAAATTACATTGAAAATATAAATAAATATATAATTATGTATCTTGTATGCACATAATTAAAAAGCTTCAGTTTATGTAACTTCTTGACTTCAAGATCTACTTCAGTATCTCTGTAGTCTAGGGGGCCCTTGTTTTTGTGAGGATACTGGCTTTTCCGGGGGATAA